ATGGTAGGGCCACACCCTCACCCCCCGCTGCCTACCCCTCGCTGGAGGCTGGTGGAGGAGGGGCACCGACCCGCGTCAGAGGACAACCTCTCCCAAACCCAGATGTCAACAAAAGTAGCAGCTGATACTTGGAGGACACGGACACGGCACCACACCAGAGGACTAGGGTATAGTATGACAGCTGGGCGTGAATGTACGAGTCGTTTGTGATGTGGCAGCGCGAGCTGAAGAGTCAGAATGGGAGGGGGACGTTGTGCAAACAGTAGCTGAACGTTAAACAACATTAATACTGAAGGGGGAAAACAAGGTGAAGAGGTTATGGTATTTGGAGGGTAGCTGATGGAACACAGTAACATGACTGTGACAGGAGACAGAAGTTAATTAAGGTCACGGTGGAGAGCTGTCCAACACCACACGGGCTGGTGACGTGTGTATGTGTGATGGCTCCTCCTCCAACACTGTCATCGGTGACCCTCAACACTTAATACTTCGCAGTAGCTCTTACAGCTCCCAACCACTAAAACAACAACAAAAATGTAGAGTAAGAGGCAGTTATCAAACATTGAGGTACTACCGCCTGGGAAGATATTGGAAGCATAATGTGTTGTTTAATGGTAGACCCTGCTGCCATATGGCAACACAAAAATTGTGACCAAGTCCCAGGTTGCTGATCTGACTTTCTGTCTCATTTACACACAATTGCAGGGTCTCAATTGTTTCGCTTACTTTGACAACACAACATACTGTACATAAATCGTTTCTCACTATCGATATTTTTTTATGGTAATCGTTATTATTATTATTCTTTTATTTTTTATTAATTTTTATTATTACTATTATTATTATTATTATTATTATTATTATTATTATTATTATTATAATTATATTTTCGCCCCCCAGGCCCCGATGTGGGTCAGTGACCTGTGCTCGGGTGGGCTAATCCCCCCAAAAAAGACTATTTGGTGAATCTAGCAATCCCGTAAATTAAGCATTTTTTAGATAAATAAAAATGTGATTTAAAAGAAAATGTCTAAATTCCCATAAGCTAACAGTTCCTTGTTCAAGATACTGAAATTATCTGTACCCCGAAGTTGTGGTTCAGAGTGAGGGATGATCTGACGGACAACAAACACACTTGGCCAACACCTCATCAGCGCCACTATACACTTATCTGTTCAGGGAAAAGACGATCAAACTTTCCTCTTAAAAACAGCTTTCTTGCGTAATATTTTTCAGGCGAGTATTGGCAATACCATGAACCTGGGAGATTCACGACCTGGAGGTGTCGGAGACGGAACAAGGAGGAGTGAAATACTGATAGTGTAGAGACCCGATGATATTGGAGAAGGGAAACGCTTGATAAAACAAAAGGACAGAACAGTAAAAACCATACGTCTGAAAATATAGTGAGAATCGTTGAGTTAGCCCTTGCCTTCTAAGTCAACCTTCCCACAAGTTATGAGCTGTTGACAAGTTATAATGAAAAGGGTGATGAATACAGGCGAGGGAAGATGCACAGTACTGCCGCATAAATATACAGCTTAAACGTCTGACTGAAAATAGATACCTGTGTGAGCCAGGCTTTAAGGGGGAGCGGCGGGGCGTGAGGTCAAAGGTGAGTCCAGCGAGGAGAGCGCTCAAGGCCACAGCCGGCGCAGGTAGGCATGGAGACCACCTGTAATAATTGATGTCTCGCTCTCCCCTCCCTCCCCCCCTTCCCTTCGTCTTCCAGCGCCCTACTGACAGTGTCAGCACTCCTCTATCCCTCCTGCTGACAATGCCACGACATCCTCCATCCTTCCTGATGGCAATCACACGACCTCCACCATCCCTTCTGCTGACATTGCCAGGACCTCATCCATCCTCCTGAAGGTGCCAGGACCCCCTCCATCCTTCATGTTGACGGTGCCAGGACCTCCTCCATTCTTCATGTTGACAGTGCCAGGACTTCCTCCTGAAGGTGGCAGGACCCCCTCCACCCTTCCTCCTGAAGGTGTCGGGACCCCCTCCATTCTTCATGTTGACAGTGCCAGGACTTCCTCCTGAAGGTGCCAGGACCCCCTCCATCCTTCATGTTGACGGTGCCAGGACCTCCTCCATCTTTCCTGCTGACATTGCCAGACCCTCCTCCCTCCATCCCTCCTGGTAACGGTGCCACGGCATCCCCCATCCTTCCTGCTGACGGTGCCAAGACCCCCTCCATCCCTCCTACTGATGGGACCTGAATCTGCTCCATACTACTGAGTCACGATCACCACAGCCCCTCCACAGCCACCCTATAAGCGAACATAAGGCTCTCCTCTAATGGTGCTACACAAGGACCTCTTCCCGCTGCCTCGACACACAACACCAGCAGCTACTCCACACACTCATCTTTTGTTTGGATGGGGGAGGATATTCAGAGCCAATGAAGAGCGGCAAACTTTAAATCAACACTTAAGAGGGGTTGACAGGGGTAATACACTTATCTAACACAACGAAATTTAAAGATTTAAACGAAATACAACGATCCAAGCGTTAATCGATAGTACTCGCTATGATCAGCTTGTTCAGTCTATTCAAGGAAGAGGTGGTTAATGTGCTGGTTAAGGCATGGGACATCATACAGAGAGATACCCAAAGTTACCCCCATGTAAGTTCAGGGTAAAAACCGCAAATCGGAGATGGAGGTCAAATTCAACTCTTTAACAATGATATTTTAGCACGGAGACTGAACCATGCACTCCAGCTGCTCACCACAAAACCCTCGAGAGCAGCAACACAAAGAATACTGCAGTAAACTAAAAGTAAACAAAACACTGGACTATAGCACCACACATGTCAACAAACAGAACAGGGTAAACTATGAGCAAATAAAACATTAATGACAATGAAAACAAGGATCAGAACAGAGCCATGAGGAACACTGTAGTACGGCATATAACTCTGGAGTACAGGAGTGATAAAACTTGTCATACAGAGCAGCACAACACATACACAACACCATCCTACTGTATCAACACATACAGTACACCAACACCCTACTGTATCAACACATACAACACTACAGTATACCTTCAACACAAAATAAATAAATATCGCCAAATTTATTGTTAAATTTTCGGGTTTTCTAGAGAATGTATCGCGAGAGAACCTGTTGACCTGGGCCTATTTATGACCAACGAAGTCACCCAGGTGATGACGACCCGCCACGACCTGTCGCTCATGTCTTGGTCGTCGAGGCCAGGGTACTGCCTCCAAATTTAGTCACAATCGATTCATTTCCAATTAGCATTAAAGACGCAGGTCCCGCGTCTTACACCTGTCCACAGTCATTTTCACCTGCGGCAGTCTCTCTCTTTTGGGAAATTGTGAAGCGGCAAATTGTTTTAATTTTAATAATAATAATATTAATAATAATAATAAGTATTATTATTAGTAATAGCAGAAGTAGTAGTATACTTAGTTAAATCATCGATATTATTATTATTATTATTATTATTATTATTATTATTATTATTATTATTATTACTGTTGAAATTATTACTAATATAATTACCATCACTCATAATTATTACCATTTTCATTTATTTTTTTATTTATATGTATTAGTTAATAAATATGCCTAGGAAGGTAGTAAGTGAAGGCAGCGACACACACACACACACACACACACACACACACACACACACACACACACACACACGAAGGGCCATCCCCATCCCTGTACTTTTGCGTTAAAATTTTGAGTACGATTAGAGCATCCTGAGGACAATATTTTTGTACTTAAGGCAATTGTATTCAAAGGGTAAAGTTATGGTACTCATAGGATTGAGTTCGTGTACTCAAAATGTTACGTCATCACATTCGAAGGAGTCTATGGTCTAGTTTAATAGACTCAGGGGTTTAAAACTAAGAGAAACTTTCATGATTCTATATATTCCTCCTTCACATACATCCAGAGATGAACTAGCCTGGGTGAGCCCCCGGCCCAGCTCCTCGACGCCCCAGGTGATCCCTCAGGTGTGTATGGCATCCGAGGCCATCAATACAGCGGTGCCAGCGACCGTCTACACGCACCCCACCACCGCACCTCCTCCTCCACTTGGTCTGTCTCCCCTCGTTCACATGCAAGGCCACTCACCCTCCACCCTCATGTCTTATAGCCACCTACTCAAAACTGAAGCGGCTCCATCTGGCTCTAGTAAGGCAGGGACATCCCCTCTCCAGAATGGCACTCAACCTTGGCACCTCTGGGTCAATATGAGAGCCGTCCTCGACCGCTCACCTCGTCACACGCGCGCGCGCGCGAGTACAGAGAGCAAACGTACACAAATACACACGCATGTGCGCGTGCATGAAAACGCATAAATATATAAACACGCGCATGCGCGTTCAAGAACTACACTTACTCCACACGTTGAGCTCTATAAGTCTATCCCTTTAAAAATGTAGACACGTTCACATTTAACAAAACTGACGTTTACTTACAACTTAAACAGGTAACAGGTTGATGACGTCCACTAATATTATAATATTCCCGCTAACTACACTGTGAGGGAGGACGGCACAAGACCCTCACTCAGACGAGCCAGAATAAGGAACTGTCAAGACACACAGTGACTCCTCGCTCACCACACGCCACAATTCACACACTTTTCCTTTCCCCATGACAGAAAAAAAAAACATTCTTAAGCCATCACATTACCTAACAAGAACCTAGCAAATCATGATCACCTGTACATGTCTCAACCGAGATGAACACTTGTCCTTACACCTGGTCCTTTCAACACAACACCTGATGTTAATTATAATTTACCTGTAACTTAACAATCAAAGCAAATAATTTTTTGTTAACTTCGGCATTAGTTTGGAGAAGACAAAGAGTACCAGCATTTGAAAACAACTTTAAAAAATATAGTACAGTGAAAACACGAACCAGCCCGAGATGTAACTAATTAGGGTAGACTGAAGATGTGGGTTCTGGCAGCGTAACATGTTAATCTCAGGCAGGAACGTACCAGATCCTACGTTGAGGCTGACAGTGATCATCCAGGTAAGAGGCGGCATGGTGCGCCAGGGCGTGTCACCAGGTCCTAGCCACGCTGCTCCTCATCTCTCTGTTGCCTCCTAGTAAAGGTGGCTGATGGTCGATAAGCTCTCAATGGGTGTAGCGTTCAGGTGGTGGGGGCGCACATCACACCAGGCCGCTCACTCGCTACTACCACCATTAACACTTGCACTAACGTTAACACCTCACTCAGTATCACCATGAGTGGGTCGGGCATTGCACTCATTACTAATCATTACATCATACATCCTTCCCGTCATGAGAATTAACAACAAATATCTGCGTAGGAGTAGTAGTAGTTTGTGATGGTAATGATTACTGTACAAACACTGGCAGTACCACGTGTTGGCACTAGTTCCGAAAAGACAGACCCGCCACTATTGTTTCTCTTAGACACACCTGCACACGGCAACACAAACTGTTCACACCAGCTTTAACATAAGTTTAATAAATCCACCGCTCTCGACACTACTTGTTACTACGGGCGTTTGTTCATCTTCATTTCAAGACAACTCTCTTAGGCATAATGTTCCCGCCACGAAGAGGATTGTACAGCTTCCCCAAATCACTTAATAATGGTAGTGTTGACATGAGCGAAGTGGGTGGATGGGTTTGTGTGTGTGTGTCGGGCGACATGTGATGGCGACAACCTGGCTGACGGCGAGTGAGCGAGAGCCCGTGTGCACCAGCCCTCCAGTCAACAAGTCACCACTACTCCGCGTACATCAATGGATCAAAATATCGTCCGATATCCAGTTTAATTATTGAGAGTTTTCAAGTAAGTATTCTCTAAATGTTGAACAAAACCAGTACGCTCTTGGCTGGTAAAAGTACACATCCACAAGGGTCTGTAGTAGTAGTAGTAGTAGGTGTGTAAGGGGAGAGTGAGGGCGCTCCACCCTCGCCCCTCCGTGCTAACTTGCTCCAGGCTGCGTACTGCACTCTGCTTGCCTCGTCCCCTAGCTGGCTGCCGCGTGTGTGTATGTGCCAGTAGCTTCGAGGGGAGACTGAAGCAGTGAACTATGAGTAGTCGGGGTGATACCGCTCACTTTTACTTCTCCACCAGCCTAGCGAGGGGAAGGCTAATGTTGTACTCGCTCTCACCATTCACTTTTCTCTTTTCAATTACAGTTGATAACAAACAACTGTGTAAATAAGAAACCGTTCAACAGTGTTAATATTCGCATTAATACTCTCTCTAATCAAGGCAATTTATTCCTCAAGTAATTACAACGGGAGTTGTCGTTTAAGTAGCCTAAGTTCTTCGTGGTCAGCGACATACGAAGCTCGGCCGTCTTGGCGGTAAACTGATCCCTTACACTAGCGACGGGGCTACTACGGTGGTTGCCACGGCCCTACTGCCACATAGGTCGTCCCAACTCCCTCACCCCCTCGCAAGTCTCCCCTCGCCCATCCCCTTCCCGCCTCGCACCCCTACACTCCCCCATGAATTGTTGACTTGTTGACTCGACCCCTCCCTCCAGCTCTCCCTGTCCCCTACAAATAGTGTTGATGTGTGTTGTTCATCCTTCAAACCGCCTCATTATACCCCCAATCCTCCCCTATCAGCTGTAACAGACCGCCTGGCCATGTGGCAAGTTTACGCAAGACACAAAGTGCTAATCTACCTGTAACTCAGTATATTTCCTTTAATAATTTAGCAACTCCCTGGTATGTACGAGCATGTTGCGTTTCTGTCCAGAATTTACATAAATTCAATCTGTGAAGGTTGCAAAGCTGCCTGGAGGCGCACTGCAGCAATATTCTCCCTCTTGTCTCCATTCTCTTTCAAGGCGTACTCTCTACAATTCTCATCTATAACACGGACTCGTTCAATGTACAATCCTCTAGCTGCCATACATTTCCTGTTTCTATATAGGGAAGTACAAATCATTTTATAAACATGATAATCGATACTGTCTCGAGTCACATGCTCTTCTACTTAATTTTTTTCAAGAAGCTCGTTTATTGTGTGTAACGTCTGTTGTGTGGCCGTGACGCCCCGCTGCTGCTGTGAGGAAATACCTTGTTAGTGATGACAGTCAACAAGTCTGAATTTCTGCAGCCATCACCATGATTTGGGTCACTGAAAAAATTTGACAAGATCCTCCTCCAGTTTATACAAGAGTCTGTCCAAGATATTCCTTATATCTGTTGAGAATTTCTGGCGAAGACACCGCAGCCTACCTCTATTTCACCGTATTTCTATCCCTCTTTCATTTTATTAATTTTTCTTTCACTGCCATCGTGTCATGCCTGGTTGCCACACGCTGGTGGAACAAACCCCTACTGTACCAGGAGTCCTTGTCATACCCCCACCTTGCACTGCACGGGGAGAGGGGGCTCCAGGAGGTGTAACACTGACTCGCTCTGATGATGACGACCCCTGTTGCTGGACTGGCGTGTTGTAACGTTGGGTAAACACTGGCCAGTTCTACGCTTACAGTGAAATTTCCTTGAGTGTGTAACAGAAGGATGTCTGCCAGGCTGCTCTATAACAGTCAAACAGACAGACGGATAAACCGGCGACGAAAACAACTTGGTCGAGGATACGGGGCTAGGCTGGATAGGAGGGGGCAGGAGGAGAGGAGGGGCAGGAGGATGGGAGGGAGGCTGGAGGGAGGGAGGAGGGGGAAGGAGGGGATGGGGGAAGGAGGAAGGGAGAGGAGGGGATGAGGGAGATGAAGTATGGAGATGGGGGGAGGAAAGGGGTAGAATTAGGGTAATTAACCGTCAAGTGAAATGAGGAGGGGGTTAATCTTCATGTGATCCCATTTTTGGAAGCGGTGGTGATGGAAGAAAAATTTACGAGTAGTCACAATATCAGAGCACAAAAATACATAGTTCCATTATATTAAACCACAATACAAATAGTAAGACACAACAACCAACGTATCTTATAAGTCTTCAGGTGTCTAAAATTCATATATAAACAGACCTGACCAACACACGGAGCTTCCTCCCACGAGAGCAGGAATAATAACTCGCCGAGTGACAGATAAGACCATCCGTATTTCTCCAATATTATCCATTTCTGTCATCTTATACGGCGGCTCTGAGCATAAATATATAATAAAATATTCAGCTTGTTATATATAGCGACTATACAGGTGCTATATATAACGGTAATAAAGAAATATTCAATATACACATCCTATAATACATTGCCAATCGACGGCAGAGGTACAGCCTCCAGCTACCAATTCCGGCACTTTCTATGTTTTATGCATTTTTCCATAAAACTCCCCAGAGTATGGAAAAATATAGCTTTTTTTATACAACGTTTTAACTTACAATTGTACTGTATGTGATTCAGTAACAGTTTATATAGCTGATAAATTATAGTGTTAAATATACAAGTGTTATAACACCAACGTGTGTGACGCAGATATTCGCCGTAAGCTTTGTAAGAGAGCGAGTCAGGAATGGCATTCATAGCGCTAGATTATGCAGCTAAGACGCACGCACACACGGGGGGGGGGGGCACCATTAATTAATCAGCGGGGGACAGCAGTTCCCAGGGTCGTTCCCTTTACCATAAGGGGCTCCCTTACTGTCCTACCTCCTGCTCCCTGCACCCGATACCTCCCCCATCCGCCCTCCTTCCCTCCCACACCACCGAGAGCACACATCAAACAAACACCCCACGCCGCCTCCACTATGCAATCACACATAACACAAGCGGATACAGTGGAAGGTCTACAGTAAATCAGAAAGTCAAAATTTGTAATATAATTTGCATATGTGGTAATATTCGTGGCCTAAAGCACCCTTCCGCACCAACGGTCGGCCAAGATTAATTAAAGGGTAATATTGCCAACGTGTAATTCCCCCTGGAGCCATTCCCCGCCGACCTCTGTAAAACTGGAGACTGTTGGCTCTACTGGGCCAGACACCCGCCTCCCTCCTCGCACCGCACATGCGACACAAACTTCATCTTTTGTTTTATTTATTTAACAGTTCTTACGTCATACCTGAATTATAATCCACCTGTACTGAATTAGCAAGATTTAAATTTCTCGTCAACCCAAGCAGTCTGATTTAATTACAGTATATAATAAAGGTTTATTCCATCTTTTTCAATATAAATAGTTTTACTCGCTTCTGATTCAACACTCTGAGGACGATGGTTTGACCCTTGTAGGAAGATGGTTTAACCCACCAAGGACACTAATTTTACCCTTTTGTTCCCTAAGTGTGAGCAACTTTGACTTATCCGCGAGGTTACTGAGTTATACAGGTCAAGACGTGTGGTGTACACCTTTCCTCCACTAGCCATCTAAACTTCCCTTTTCTCCAACCTTTACTGTGTAAGTTACCGACTCCTCTCACTCCGCAGCTCCAACACATCAGTAGTCCAGCAATGGCCTCATCTCACCGCCTCAGTAAACGATGACCACCAACCCTCTACCACAACAAAATAGCGCCTCTAACTGTTACAGCAGCACCCATACATTAACTAAGGGAGCCTTTACCAACCCCGCTGATGACCCATTAGGGAATGCTATCAGGTAATACTAAGGAGGACGGGCAGTGCTGAGCGGCCAACAAAGAGTCGTGGTGTGGGAGAAGGTTGTGGTTGTTAGCGGAGGGGCGGTGATCATGCCCTAAGTGTAGAGCTCCTCAGTTTAAAGGGGATCCTCCACGCCAACACGCTCACGCCGGGGACAACCACAGGCCTATTACACCCTCCTCGACTCACCTCATAACACACTTACACAAATGGAGTTCTCACTTGTCCGGTACTCTGGCCGTGAACAATAACGAGGCCCGGAGTGGTGGTGATGATGGGGGAAAGTGACCCCTGCAGCTACTGTAGGAAGAGTAATGGTGCAGCGGCAGGACTGATGTCAGGATCTACCATTTCACCGGGAAGTTATTACTTGGGGCACAACAAGGAGGGAGGAGGGGATCATACCACATTACTTCTCGCATACTTTCCCTAATACTATGTGCCCAGAAGTAGAAGTGTACATCTTCCACTTGTTGCACCAAAAAACACTATAACCAGGAACACTATAACCAGGAACACTATAACATACACAAGGAATATATTAGAGACTGTATGCTAACTGTAATTTCATACTCAAGAATACTACAAAAGGAACTGTAATTTATACAACGTATTAAAACCAACGAGACATAGAATATCGAGTGTAATTGTAATACTGGATGTTAGATCTTTATTTAATTACCAGTTTACAAGACACTCAGATGAATACACCATCCCTGTGGTCAGGAACAATACAGCAGGCAGTGAGTACAGCCAGCCATGTTTGCTTCATCAACAGTTGTGTAAATTAGATGCAGAAAAGAATTACCCCTAAAATTCTGTATACAACCACGGTAAGAAGGGCAGTGTAGGAAGGGAGGAAGAGAAGGGTGGCAGGAGGAGGAGGAGGGGGCGGACGGCCGGGTGGGTGGGTTGAGGGAAGAAGGGCGCAATACAGCCAACACTCGCCCACAACACAACCCAGGCCAGTCCTTCACACGCGCCCAAATACACTACTCTGACTAATGAAAACCTCCACCAGACGGGGCGCGCCCTTCATGTACACCCAAGGTAGAATTATTTATAAAAGAAAAAATAAGTCTCACACACCCTCTACTGACCTCGATTTTCTTCCTCTGTTCATCACCCGTTCTCCCTTCTCCCCATTCTCTTTTCTTCCATGTCTTCATTTCTTAATACTTTCTCTCTCTCTCTCATTCCTTACCCGTTTCCCCATTTCTCGTGTGCAGCAACATAATTTGCCTCAGTGACCAAGGCCTCCCTCTCCAACCTAGTATTATTTGCTGAATATAATCAAATTTCCTCTGGCCACCCACCCTCTTTAACACACACACACACACACCACGCCAAGCCCCTCATAACACCATCTGTGAGGGAGTTACTACACTACGTGTCTGCTGTTCAACACCTCAGCGC